AAAAAAAAATAAAATATTCCAAAGCCTTATTAAGGGAATTTTTTTTTCCTGTTGTTCAGCCCAAATTTACATTTCGGTTTTGTGTGATCCTGAAGGGTTCCCTTCCCTCTGTCTCAGCCATAAAACAGCCAAGTGCCCGGGATGGACCTTTTGGTGAGGAAGGAAATATTAAGGAAGCATCAGAAATCCTTTAACATGGATCCTGGTTACTGCCAGAATGGAAAATTCCAAACTGATTGTTGGGACTCAAGGAAATCAGGGATAAAATACCCAAGGTTACAGGTTCTGGAAGTAAGAGAGACATGTGGAAGATCCCACATTGTCCATTTCCCATCCAAAAAGCCTTCCCACCTCAACAGTGGGAATTTGGGGAGAGGTTCAACAGAATCAGAGAATCATGGAATGGTTTGGGTTGGGAGGGAACACAAAGATCATCCGGTTCCAATCTTGACACCTCCCACTATCCCAGGTTGCTCCAACCTGGCCTTGGACACTTCCAGGGATCCAGAGGTAGCCACAGCTTCTCTGGGAAATCCATTCCAGCCCCTCCCCACCCTCCCAGCCAGCAATTCCTTCCCAATATCCCATCTATCCCTGCCCTCTGGCACTGGGAAGCCATTCCCTGTGTCCTGTCCCTCCAGGCCTTGTCCCCAGTCCCTCTCCAGCTCTCCTGGAGCCCCTTTAGGCCCTGCAAGGGGCTCTCAGCTCTCCCTGGAGCCTTCTCTTCTCCAGGGGAACATTCCCAGCTCTCCCAGCCTGGCTCCAGAGCAGAGGGGCTCCAGCTCTTGGAGCATCTCCGGGTCCTCCTCTGGATTCACTCCAAAGGGACAACTCTGATTCCAGATTTCCCACCCTCATGAGAACGTGGCCAAGCAAAGAGGCTTCTCCACCAACAGTGTGCAGCCAAAGTCAGTATATTTTGTTATATTCAGTTCAAATAACGATCTAATTGGAATAAAACCCTAATTTCCATCCATTCCACAGCCTGGTCCATCCCAGGACTCCTCTCTCCTCTGTCAAAGTGAGACCCAGAGATGCTCCTGACCATCACCCA